GCAATTCAATGGTCTTATCGAACAATTATTCTATTGTTAATCGTATACGTGTATGAAAGAAAAGATTTTCAAGGAAAGAAAAAGAATATCTTTATGATCGGGCACTCCCTATTCAAATACTTATTCTTTGATTTCATATCACAAAAGAATATTATCAATATTATTCAACAAAGTAACATATTATCAAAGACATTTCAATGGCTCTTTATTAGATGCTCTTGTAATCGAAGCTACACATATAAGAATCTCAATTTCCGGGTGATAGATAAGAATAATATAAGGCATAAAGTTCTGATGAATTGTGATAAAATAAAAAAAAATTTTTGTTAGTAATTCTGAGATTGTAATATGATGACTGACGTAACATCCAAAGAAATATATATATATATATATATATGTACACGCAAAAAAAAATAAGAGAAAGAATAAATTGACAACGACAGCAAAGAGGCCACTTCTCGATTGTTGGAATAAATTAATTTGATGGTTCTCTCTCTATTTTCTCTGTCAAACTAAAATAAAAAGAAAAGCGGCGTCTTATTACGCCATTTCCTTTCCGTTATGAATTGATCATATATATATAAGCAACACACTCTATATGAGAGGACAATATAGAGAAGGAGGAACTAATTTGCGTGACATTTTTTTCTTCTCTCATACATCTCACATCGTCAATTCGATTTTTTAGATCTGTCATCATACTCACCATCATTATTATGCAGCAATGATAAAATATAAAAAAGGAAACGACATTGTCTTTTCTTCAAAGGTGTTCACAAATATAAAAAGACCACTTTAAAACAGGCGACAAAAGGATTATGTCACACTTGTTTTAACAAAAAAAGAAATAATAAGAAAAAAATTAGATTGATTATTCGTCTACTTCAATGAGCAATTTTAGTAGTGCAAGAAAAACGAGAGAAACTATTGTTTTTTCTTTTGCCCCGGTTTATACACATATACATATAAGTATATATATATACATATTTCCGACCACTTGAATTTTAAACTAGCCTTCGCCATCACGTCCGTTGTCATTGTCATAAAAAAAAATCTGTCCATATGGCGATCGGCAACAACCACTTGAAACGGCAATGCATTCCATCATACATATACAATTACCTGAAGAGTGTGCGCGGTCCACACTTCCTGTTCGATCAATAGAATAGAGCGGTTTTTTTTTTGATAGATAGGAGATTGAGAACACATGAAAATATATGTGTAAAAGTCGACATTTTTGACAATAGATGTTCCTGATCGTTATTCAAATGGTCATCGTTAGTTTTTTTTTTTCAATTAGATTAAATTCTTTCTCTGTGATATTCATTTTATGAGAATTTGATTCCTGATCAATATGAGATCCCAATATTGGACATTAACTAGTACAATCATTTCGCCGGACATAGGACAATTGTATATATATAATGATCGGCATTGATGGAATAATTTTTTTTGTTCTCCTTTTTCTTTTTTTTTTTCCTCCGTATTGTCTAAATGTACTACACTCTCTTATTCTAGTGTAGGGTTCAAAAAATAAATAGACCGAACAACGATGAACGCAAAAGAGAACGACAGAGAAAGAGAACGAGAGAGAAAAGAGAGAAATCATAGAGTGGGTGGGCGAACACAGTCACCACTATCGCCATTACTATCGTCTCACATATTGGAAAAATCGCGAGTCATACATACACATATGTATTGTGCAGTAGCTAATTTTCTTTTTCATTTCAACGTTTGATCTTATCGAAGTGCACATATACATATATACACAAATATATTTCGCTAGATTAACCATCATATACATCATGATTATCTTAATTATTATCAATTTTTTTCTTCAATTCATTTGTTCGACTACAGCAGCAACAGATATATCCAATATTCGATATAATTCTTTAATATCAGCACAATGTAAAGCTCGTTGCTTATATGAATATCGAAATCATCACTATCAACAACGATCACTACCATCTATATTCAATAATGGAAAAACGAAACGACTACTGGTGAGATCAAAAAAGAATGAATGAAAATTTCTTTATCTATAATTGACACTCAAGATTAGTCTTAGGCCCACCTAGGGAGTGTCTCTCACCTGTGAGAGTTACATGCTGAGTAGAAGTTGTATGTCGATAGACTTTTCCTACGAGGTTAAGAAAACATGCACACTATATGTTGATTTATTTGTTTGGCTAAACTTTTCCTATACAATAATCTTCAAGGACAAAAAAAAAAAAAAAAAGACGAATTGAATCGATATAATGAAACGAAAATTGATCGACTTTGATCTAGAAAAACAAAATAGTATTTTTCTCTTATTTCTTCTTTTTATTGTTAATGAAGATATTCATTTTTTTTTTTTGGTCGAAAATAAAAGCATTAAACACCTTTCTTTTCATCTTCTATCGAGAAATGTACAATTAAGCCTTAAGGTGTGTACATTCACTTTATTTTGTCGATTAAGTCGTTTAGCAAATAGAATCAGTTCGAAGAATATCAAACTTGATTTGTTTCAGTTATAACAAGAAAAATACAAAAAGCAAATGAAGGTGTCATTCATGCATATATACAGGTGCTTCCGATTCTCATTTAGTAGAAATTTTGTTATCTTTATAGATGAGGTGTCTCGTCTATCATTCATTCAATATGATGACAAGACACTAAATAAATACATATAAGAATAAATCGAAAATTGAGAATGATAACAAAAAAAGAAAACATTTTTTTTTTCTTTTGCTTTTCATTCATTCTTTCTAATGATGTTGACTTAAACTTAATGAAATGAACAAGTTAGTTTTTTTCGTCAAATATAATAATGATCTTTTAACAATTGTACGATCTGTCTCTTTAATTTCATTTTCTTTTCACGTATACATTGACATACATTATAATTATGAGAATAATGATTTGACAATACGAGATAAGAAAACAAAAAAAAAACTCAACTATCGATTGAATGTCTTCAATAATTATGATTATATTTTAGACGACAAATGTACTAACTTTACCGTGGCGATCCATTTGGAAACGTTGTCCACGCCTTATCACATGTAGCTCGGTAAGTAAATTGACCGAATGAATAGAAGGAGGTAAAAACGTATGATTATCTCATGTGATAGCCAATCTAAATGCACATCTAATTGAGAAATGGAGAGTCTAATGCCTAACAAATTCAATTATGAAGAATCTCACTGACCGACAAACCACTATAGACTAGTCGGAAATCGGATAATTCGCTTTTTTTTCTTTTCTCATCAGTATGCTAACGAGTCAATCTGTTTGTACTTGTCTCTTTATGTTCATTCTAGTGTCTACTCCCATGTGACTTAGATCCGCCACTTCTGTTATCCAATGAACAAAGTTGTCAAGCAATCTGTTCTACAGTAAGTATTTTTTATGTATTTAATATTTTCTATCTATGATCTAAAGCATGACCTCGTATCTGTCGAGCTCATTATCGATGGTAAAAAACAAGACTAAGAAAGATGATATGTTCATTGTGATGAGCGAATGATGTCGACAACTGTGTGTATATTTATAATGGAAAGAAAAAGCAGAAAGCAGATATGGACAATGAAGGAAAGAATGCGAAACAAATAAATAGACCAGAAAAAATAGGGTTAATGAATATCAACGATCAGACTTTGTTTTTTTTTCTTTATCTTTTATCTTTATTGTATTTTTTTAATTTTGTTTGTTTGTCTATTCTAGTTACGAAACGTTGAATGTCAACGTAGTTGTATTTTTATTCAAAATCTTTATCATCAACAATCCAATTGTTTGACAGGTGAGAAGGAAATTTGAGTTGTTTCAAAAAAAAATAAAAAGTAAATGACATTCGGTGAGACGAAGTATGTTTAATTTAGCCTGAAGACTTGTCTACTTCATTTTATTTTTCTTGTTGTTGTTGTTATATTTGATGTCTCAGGAGAAAGAGAAAAAGAAACAAATCGAATAGGATTATTCTATTTGTACATCAAAAGTAATAATTTTATATTTTTTAGACGATTGTCAATCATCATCATGTTCACCAACAAATGATTGTTTCGGTAAGTTGATCGATTCATGCAGGTGTCCCGGATGCCATCGTAAAATAATGATTGACATATTGAACAGAAGAAAAAGCTGTTCATAATTAGCCTTGTATTGCACGCGAGAAAATGATAAATGTGAGAAAAAAAAACATACGTTTGTTTTGTTTTTTTTTCCTTTCCATAGAAAAAATTCCTCAACCGAAAAATATTACTGCTATTGAAAGAAAAAGTCGACGAACTGTAAAACTTAAATGGAATTCAAATGAATTGACAAATATTGAACCTATTTTTTATGTTATTGAAGCACAATGGACATTACCAAAAACGGATATTAATCAAGAAGATATTATTTCAAAATGGGGTTTTGTTAAAGAAGAAGTTTCACATACAAAAGCCATTATAAGAAATATTCAACGAGATAATCGTTGGTATACTTTTCGTGTTGCTACTGTAACACGACATGGATATTCACCTTTTTCAATAACAACGAAACCTTTTCGTTTAAATTCACGTAAAGAAAAAAACAAATTTAACAAAAATGAAATATTTAATGAAAAAATATTTGTTTTTTTTTTTTCGTCTAGAAAATGAATCACAGAAATCTTTATCAATCACAGCAGCACCAAGAAATTTGTTTATTAAAGATTTTCAATTAAATTCAAATACAATTAATGTAACACTTAGTTGGCAAAAACCAGATCTTCCAATAAATGGATATCAGGTTTGATTAAATATGTTTCTCATATTTTCTTTTTTTTATAATTTTATGTTTTTTTTTTTTCTTAATTAGATTTCTTGGGAAGCACAGAATGATCCATCTCTACTTGTAAATACAATCGATATTTCTTCATCATTATATCCATTAGAATTGACTATTTCATTTCTGTCTATGCATACATCTTATATTTTCAAAGTAAGTACTCATTTTTAACAAAAAGTCAAGTATCCACTTTACTTTCGTATAGATTCGTTCATTATTTATTTCTGATGATGATGATGAAATACAAATGAGTGTACCATTATCAATAAAATTTAATTATGAAGATGAATTATTATCAATAAGAAATTTTTATATATCGGAACCATATTTTATAAATGGTTTAATTAAAACAAATATATCATGGAATAAAATAAATGATTATCGAATTCAACAATATGATTTACATTGGATTGAAACTCAATGTTCTTCAGATATATTACCATGTTGTTATCGACGTGATGCTGTGACAATAGATAATTTTTTTCAATTATATGATTTACGTTTTAATTGTACATATTTATTAAATATAAAACCAATTTTATCAAAATTACGAATTAAAAAATCTTTTCAAATTTATTTTAATGTTAGTTCTTGTCAATTAATTCAAGTTTATGGAACTATTCGACCACCATGTCAAATAGATGAAAATTTAACTAGTTCATCTCTATCACCACTTAATCTTATTATTACAAGAAATGAATCTGGCATTCAATTTTATTGGCAAGATATGCGTTTATTAGGTAAGTTAACATAATCGGTAATCAATAAAAGATAATTTGTATATAATCCATTAGTTCATGATGATAGTGGTATTATCTATCAATTGCATATTGAACAGCTGCCAAGTCATATTGAACTTATTTCTATTGATCTTTCACCCGTAAGATTATATTTATATATATACGTTCTTGTAATGTTGTAATTGAATCTTTTGTTTTATTTAGACGATAACAAATTATTTTTTACCATATTCAAAACAACAAGGTGATCGATATCTTAATGTAACATTAACATTATTTGATAATTTAATAATTCAACAACAAAAATCCATAATAATCGATGGATATCAAAATTATAATAACAATCATATTAATCGTAATACTCCATTGAGTGTTATATCATCAACAACGAAAATTCAAATGAATTATTTTATTTTATTTATAATATTTATTTCTATTGATTTAATACGACGATAATAAATAATTGGTAAAGAAAATAAAAATTGAACAAATAGCGAAGCACGAACGTTCATCTCGTCCGTCTTCTGATGGTGCACCGCAATACCGGTTCCGGTTTTTTTCTTTTGTTTTAAACTCAGGAAAATCTATTATCGTCGATTATCAATTGACATTTATCTTCAGTTTTTCACTGTCATTTGTATAGGTTTTCTTTTTCATTTTTTTTCTTTTTTTTACAAAAATATATTTATTATTTTTTTTTTTTGTTGCACATAACGATAAATGATATGAGCTTTTCTGTGTTTTTCAGTCATTGATAGTTAAATGATAGAGAACAGATTGCTTAAAGAAATGTCATCATACTTAAAGAAACAATAATAGTGATAAGATAGAAATATAGCTTATGTTCTGATCTTTTCTTAAGAATAAACGACCATGACATTATACTTGGTGAATTAACACATTGATCTATAATGAGCATTATCTTTTTTTCTGTTGTCTTTTCTCAAGAAAGTGTTGACCATGACAATATTCATGTAACAAACAGTAATGAAGGAAAATTTCAACATATGTCATAACACTTTAGTAATTGTAATTCTCTATTGTTGCAATGATATTGGATATAATTGAAAATTTGAATCAATATGAAACTATTCATAGAAGACATTCAAGTGAAAGGAGGAGAAGATGTTAAAAAAAGGACGAAGGAAAGGGAACCAAACAATGTAATTTATACCTGAATAGCTTTTATAGATAGTCTTTATACAGCTGTGAATTTTTTGTTAGAAATATTGTTCGATCAATAAAATTGTTTTTCTGTTCTTGAATTTTATCGATGAAAAGATATATAATATAGATTAATCTGAAATACTAATCATTGATGACTGATGAAGCGATAAAATGTTGGACTAATATAGATAATGATTACATTCACATCAAAAATGCGATGTGAAAAAAAAAGAGTATCGAATTACTATATCATTTTGTACAAATAAATACTTGAGAAACAAAGAATCGGATAATTTGTAAAGGAAATAATAAAACATTCAAGAAGGCTCATTTATCACTGATATTTTCTTTAATTCTAACTCTCAATTGGCTCATAGAGAATTTAAAAAGAAAACTATGTATGATTTCAATCAAGGCAACTTGTAAAATTTTACTCATTTCAGAATTTAACTTTGCTTTGACACAAAAAAATCGATCGATTTTTTTTTTTTTTGATGAAAATTATAATTTTGTCACATGTTTTCCGAAATTTTCTTTTCAATGCAATTGAACTACAGTGAAACCACTCTTAGTGAACACTGTCATGTAATTCTATAATGTGTGCTCTCGAAAAACTTCAATTGTGTTCACGACAGGGAAATTTTACTCTAGTTTAGTAACTGTTACTTTTTCGAGAAGATAAATGATTGAAAAAACGAGAAGTGACAATGTCCAATAACTACTTATTTCATTCAACGGTACTCTTTGATACCTAGAATGCTCTTCGTTTTCTTGTAAAAAAGAAAAACTTTGCTTTTAGAAAAGAATGAACTTTCTTATAAGGGACACTGTTGAGGGTGTCCATTATAGAGAGGTTATACTTCATCATAACAATACGCTTTATTTTATTTTAGTTTACTTTTTCTTGAATCAAGTAATTCATCTGTTATCTTTATTAAAATAACAGAAGAAGAAAAATCAAACATGAAAATCAATCAAAATATACTTTAATAATCTGTTGAAATTAAGATTATTTATATGGAAAATTTTTTAATTAAAAAAGTTCTATTTTTTTTTTTTTTGTTTATCTATTTTGTTGGAGAATCGTGTTGTTGTTGAAGTGAACATTGTTGACATATATATTTTCCATCTTTAGTTTTAAAAAAATGTGCTGTACCAATTTCATTATGACAATTTTGACATGTAAAACATGATCGATGATATTGTTTACCTTCAAAGCCAACTAATATAAAAGAAATCATTTTAATTTATTTATATAATCAAATAAATTAAATAATTAAATAACATACTTGCTTCACCATTAACTATTTTATTTTTACATTCTGCACATTCTTGTGCATTTTTTATATGACAATTTTCACATAGAAATTTTGCTTCCGATTGTTGATCATCAGATTTTGATTGATGATAAAATGATTTACTTGCAATAGATGTATTACATTGAGAACATATAAAACATGTTGGATGATAATAATCTCCTTTATCTTAAATAATAATATGATATTATAATAAATTCAAAATTAATCTTAGAAAAAAACTTACATTCACTAACTAATGAACCAGGAGCAAATTCTTTATAACATTTACGACATTTTTGACTTAGAATATCTCTTGCAGCAGCACTAACACCAGTATCTAATTTATCAAAACAAATTTTACAATACCATTTGTCATTCAATGGATAAACAGGTTCATCTTTCATTGGCTATATATAGATAAACAATAATTGAATAATTATTTTCAAAAAAAGAACAATATTACAACGTTATCATCCTGTTTCATCGACAACTTTTCTTCCGTTGACAAATCGCAATCTAATAATTAAGGATTTAGTCAACAAATGGAAGCTCATCTAATTAAGCATATAATGAGTATCAGAGATGTCCATCGCGGCTGAAAATCTGCCGCTGCCGCGCCGCGGCCTTAGAAAAAAAAGCTGCCGCACCGCAGCCGCGCCGCGACGGTTTATAAAAAAATGTTGCCGCGATGGCTTATAAAAAAACGTTGCCGCGTCGCTGCCGCGATGAATTATAAAATAAATGTGCCGCCGCCGCGCCGCTGCCGCGGCGGTTTACAAAAAAGTGTTTCTAATTTCACTGCTGCGACTATATTTGACCAGAGATATTGGTACTAGTCCATCAGATTCATTCAGTCTCGGGGTGTTTCATTTGTAAACCCTGAAATTCTATTAAATTCATGCAGTTTTTTAATGTTCCCCAAAAAAATCCTGCCGCTGCCGCGATGGTCTTTTAAAAAACCTGCCACGGTGATTTTTTAAAAAACTTGCTGCTGCCGCTGCCGCCACAGGCCATCGCGACAGCGGCGCGGCAGCGCCACGATGGACATCTCTGATGAGTATTCATTTTTTTTTTCGGAAAGTGATAAGACATCGTAGAAGTAAAGCATTACTAGTATTTTATAGATGATGATTCAAAAGAATGTGAGAGTGTAGATCAGTGCGAGTGTTTATGTTGATGTAAGCCTATTGACTAAATATTGAAAATTCAAATCATTTCTAATCACAAATTTTACCCTTATTCTAATAGGGGTTTTGTGTTCATGTGTGAGATATGATATTCTATTCATCAAAACTTACAAGGAAACCTTTCAAAATGAAAAATTGAATTTCGTTCGATACAATGTTCATTTGATGAGTACTAGTAAATATTAGAAAAATCTAAAATGGTTTGATTTTCTAGGCATTCATTCTTGAGATATTTAAAGTTTACTGAGTTTTAATGTTATTATTTAAAAATAAACAAATATATTGTTATAATTCATATTTCTGAATTTAGTTCTAATAAGCAACTTGTGATTCTAGATATTCCCTACCATTGGCGGTCTTCATTTGTCGATCAAACCCGAAATTATTAAAATATGATGTGTCAAAGGAAAAAAAAAGTTGTCGCCCAATTGGAAAATTTCTCCAATTAGTCTTAATTAGTTGACTAACACGAAACTGAATCGAAACTAACCTTTTGACATTGAACACCATTTTTATCAACTCCCCAACAAGTAAAACATGTTTCATGAAATTTTTTATCTTCCCAAACAATTGATGATGCTTCAATTATATTATGACATCGAGCACTAAATTTATAAGCTACTTTTAATTATATTTATATATTCAGTCTAACATACCATTTTGGTGCTACTTTTTTATAACATATTTCACAAAAACGTAATGGTTCAGCAAGACTATTTCTTGATGTTATTGTTGATTCATCAGATTTACTATTTTTTGATTTATAGAAAAAACCACCAGCTAATGTTTTACCACAATCCGAACAATTAAAACAATGTGGATGATAAACTTTATTTTCATCAGCTGTCATTACATTTAAGATTTTTTCACCACATTTTGAACATATTGTTGAAACATCATTTGATGTTATTTGTTGTAATGCAGTTGAAGATTTTTGTGTTTCAACCATTGTTTATAATGTCAATTGAATTACTTATGAATTTGTTGTAGTTCAAAGGAAAAATTAAAGTGAATAAAATGTAAATTAGAACGTAAAAACAATATGATCGATCATAGAGTAAGAAAAAATTGGCGCTTTTCACATAAATTTTTGTTGATATTAAAATTTATGATTTCAACTAATTTTAGGAACAATTTTATAAGTCTTTGAAAATTATGTTTTATGTACCCGTAGTAGTAGAAGACATCGTTTGAATACAGGAATTGATGAAAGATTTTCGTGAAAAAATTTTGTTGAGTGTCAATTGTTGCAATGTCTAATGACTTTGTATTTGATGGATATTTAACGGATTCTTTTTACTAGAGTCATACTTACAGTCATTATATATGCATATGAAAGAATCGATGCCTACTTTCAGCTAAATAATGCACTATTCATATATGGTACTGACGTGCCATCTTGATTGTCGTCATTTTTTCTTAGTTTGATAAGAAATATCCGCAAAAATAGAATAGAGCTGGGAACATGAAAGAGAAAAAAAGATATTTTAAAGTCAGAAGAATCAAATATGGTTTGGGTAGCACACGAACAAGTTCAATAATGTTTAACATATAGAAGAACGACATCAATGACAAATGAATACATTTTGATTCAAGCAAATCAAAAATTTCAGATAATCTTTTGAATCTTAATAATGATCAAAAGAAATTATGTTCTCTTTCGTATTGATATATCAAGATATTTGATACAACTGACAAGAATGATCTTTATTATGATCCTAAAAAAAATTATATATTCCAATGTGCTTCATTAATGATTCTTTTTTCGGAATCGGGTTTTGCACAAATCAATTTTGTATTGACTTTTTCAATGGAACCATTTTTTCTTGAGTGCCCAAAAGACATGTTCGTAGTCAGGAATGTAGTTGATACTGAACTACAAAACTATACGTGTCTTTCCGATTTCACAATATTCATGAATAGGCCTATGTTAAAGATGTTGGCTTGGTAGAAGTAAATGATCTTGAATTTTAGGTAGAAGACAACGTGTTTGCTTATTAAAAGCAGAATGACTCTTTTGTTAGTATACATTTCATTAATATTGCAGAATTTAATTTGTCTTGTTTCTACAATTCTTGAATCATTAATGAGAAAACAGAAATACTAAGTTTATCAGTGATGAATAAGTGATATCTAGCATTTTCAACTAACTCAAAAGCAAAAAGTCTCATGACGAATACCTATGATCATCGTTCTTGTTAAAAACTGATTGAAATCGTCCATTTGTCGATATTTGTTGTTTAATTAATGGACATAATGTTTCATGGCACAGTAATTACCAATTTGGTTTAACCGACTAGTGGTCATCGGTCGGAAAATAGTTGTTAGATATTTCATTTTTCTCTGATAAAACTTGTCGAAAACCAGTTGGCTTGCTCTCATCAAAATAATCAAACGGTGTTGTTTCAAGAACTATGAATTTTATTTTCTTCTATTCGTCCACACTGTTATATTTCTTCAGTCGAAGTAGATTTCATTTTTTTTAAATTATAATCAAAACTATGTTATTTGTATTAAATTTTTATAATATACGTTTTAGAACAGATCAAGTGTAGGGTCAGGTTGACATTCGAACAGACGTTACATTTATCTCAAATGGCTGTGTGAGCAGATTCAAGGCTTGAAGATTAATAATCAATTAATCTGCTAATCACTTTTTCATATTATATACAGAAATGTCACATTCCTCTTTGAGAAACTCAGCAGCTATAGATGATTATAACATGAGATTTCTTCCTGAAGCTTTGTAAAACTTGGACGCAATTTTCTGAAACCATTTCCATTAATCAATTAATAATGATTTAACAAACTAGTAAGTTTTTATCAGTTTAAAAGATTTTGTGAACAGACCAGACCAATTTAAATATTCTTGACCGGTTACAATTCTTTTCCATAATATAATACAATGTCATGATGGCCTGAAGTACTCCTATTATCTTAGATACATTTAGGATAGTCATTACTTGAATATGAATAAGTTATAATTAAGTTCTTATGTAGATGAGAAGGAAGAAGAAATTCTTGTTAGATAAGAATATTATTTAAATGTAATTATATTCTTGAAGATATTAACAATCATTTCAAACAAAGAAGTAGTTATATTTTCAATTTATTGTGTTTCTTTTTCTTGTATGGAATTGAATGGTAGAATTTTTTTTTTTTTATATATAAGTAAAAAGAAATCAACTAGAAGAAGTTTCTTGAAAAACAGAACATGTATCTAAAATATGTTTCTAGATATTAAACATTATAATCAACTATAAACGATAGTTAATAATAAAATTACTATGATCTAATTAAGTATTTATTATGAAATAAGCCACTTGATTCTTCTTAACTATCGAAATTAACAGTCACAATAACTTCCGTTTTTTTTTACCCAACAAATTATTTAGATAATATGTCAACCTTTTATAGTTAACCGTATTTCGTCCAATCAAATCTGATAGCTTAAAAACTCGTATTCACTTTTCAAATATTTTCTCAGTTGTTATAGATCATTTACAAACATTCAAGTTATTATAAATAATCCTAATTATTGCATTTAAATGTAGAACAATAGTGCGTGTCACAAGAGACATGTTAGAGTCTTATTCTTGTAGGTAGTCTTATACGATACTTTTGCATATTCACACATAAAGTACATAACTTTCAAGTGAATGTTAAAGTATTTTCTCGTGAGAGTGTTTGTAAGATAAGAAGAACTTCGCTTAATCGTAGAGGCCAATACAAAAATAAAGTTATACTTACAAAAGCTTTTACTAAAATGATTTTATGTCAACGTGCAAGTTTTTGCTATGTAATAGTACTTATACTACTACATGCAAGAGTTTATAGTTCTGTCCTATGTGTAATTATGTATTTCACAATTAACATGAACTTTTCAATAACCATACTATATTGGCTCAAAGGAATTTGCTTATTTTTCCAAACTCTCCAACAGCTATCAGTATTTATGTAATCATATGTGTCATCATTATTAAATGATTATTATATCCTGCAGTTTTGGCTACACTACTAGTATAAATTAGAGCCTGTCGAATAACTCCCAGGCTGAAGTCAATGGGTTCTCGTGTAAGCAGATGATCGATTGGTGGAAAAGTTCCTCTTATATGAAACAAAGTAAATATGTTTGAAGCTTATATTAGAGAAAAAAACACAACGTGTTCATGCTCGCTACATCTACTTCATTTTTTTAAGCATTCTAGCATATTCTTATATAGAAAAATATGAAGCGTGTAGATGTGAAAACTCGTATGTATGTAAATACAAAAATAGCTCACTGTATGACGCGCCTACATGCATATGATATGAAAAGAATCATGCAGTTAGATGCGTCTTTTTAAGTTTTCGCGTTTAGTTCAATAGTTGAAATTATAAAACTTGTTAGATATTGATTCGAACAACTCTAGAATTTATTTTTCATATTTTTTCGAAGGTAAAAATATTCATTGAGCACTTAAATAATAAGAAATTATTACTTTCGAGGAAAAGTAAATTTCTGATTTTTTTTTTTTTTTTGTTAAGTATTATTACAATGCGATAAACCACGTTATGTTATGTTTACATTTTAAACTTTGTATTCGATATTTTCTTCATAATAACATTGTACAAAGTAAGACACAAGATATTATTTTAGAGCTTTTCAACATAGCCAAATATTGTTTTTTTTTTCAAGAATTATGAAAATTTACAATATAAAGACATTTTTATATGTAAATATAGAAAAAAAAATTTTTGTTGAGTGTATAATAGTTCCACTAAAATAAAAATAACTTCTAAACGATATTACACATATTTACAAACATAATCTTTAATAGAAGATTCAATAGTATTTATAATGACTTCGTAGCCGATTGATTCTTGACAGCGTCTTTTATCAAACTAAGTGACGGTTGAAAAGCTTCTATATGAATTTGAGAAGATGGATGTCCAAATTGACCCAAATAATCCTCAACCTTATTCATAAACGCAGCAGAACCACATAGATAAACATGTGTCTTAGACGTTATTGTTTTTGCCATAACTTCTTGTAAGAGACGTTTACCATGAAGAACTATATGATAATGATTTTTCGGTAAAATTTTACGCATTTGATCAGCAAAAGTAGCATGATCTTCTGTTGGTACACAATGAATCAATGTTATAAGATCTGATTTACCTTGTTTATATAAATCTAATATCATCGATGAAAGAACCGTTATACCACCACCACCAGCAATAAATAAATGATGTTTAGCATCTGTAACTAAACCATAGGTACCAGCTGGTAAACTTAATGCTAAAGTATCACCTTCTTTATATTTTTCAATAAGTTCAGTAGAAACAATTCCTTTTGGTTCATTATCTTTGTCTTGTTTAATTGCAATACGATATGTTTTACCATTAAATGGTTCAATCAAACTATAATGTCGAATATGATAAAGACCATCTTTTTTAACACGAAGTGTTATATATTGTCCTGTATGATAATCATGTACTTTTCCACCATCACGACGTTCCATTGTAAAAGCAACAATTGGTCCACATGAAAGTATTTCTTTTTTAGTAATTATAAATGGAATAAATCCTTGTTCACTTTTATCACCAAGTTCATTGTATAATTGTTTTTCTATATTGATAAAAATAGTTGCAATCATATTGTAGGCAGCTGACCATGCACCTAAAATGCTAGGATCTCCCATACCACCTAAGAATTCATCGATTGCTACAAGTAAATATTTGCAAAGAATGGGATAATGTTCTGGTAATACCATAGAAGCACGATGTTTATGAGCGATAAGTAAAAATTGAGGTAAGAGTACATCTAAATGATCAATATTTTCAATAGCAAGATAAATTGTATTTGCCAATGCAAATGGTTGTGTACCATTTTTTTGATTCGTTCGATTGAATATATTTAACAATTCTGGATGAGCTGCAAACATATGTTTATAAATAATTGATGTAATTTCTTTTCCATTTTCTTTAAAAATAGGTGCTGTTGTTTTAAGAATTTGTTTTTGTTCTTGTGTAAGTGGCATTTTGTAATCTATGAATGAAAAATAATAAAATAATTGATAAATATTAAGACTAGAATAGATATGTTTAACATTTTATTTTTATTTGTATCCATTTTGTTGCTTTGAAATGTTTAAATCTGAACTAAACAAGTATGCAAATATTTGTTAAACTCATAGTTGAATATACAAGTATGATTTAATACATAGTTAGCTGTTAATATGAAAACAGTGATTTATTGATAGAGAGGATTAGTATGATTAAATATAATTACAATCTTTGCAGCATTCCTGATTTTTTTTCAATATCGCTCTGATTGATTCAAGCTGTGTCAGATGATTCTGTTTTTTGTGATTTTTAAATGTGCTCCTTCAAAGAAATGGCGAATATGAAACAATCAAAGATTATTTATTAAAGATAAAACAAATTGAAACGATTTCAAAAAAAAAATCAGAACCACAGAGGATATAACTAAATATGCATATTTTAATCTATTAATGAGCTTATTTTCTAGAGTGAGTAATCTTGCTTGTTTTTTTTTCTATCAAAAATCTGTAAATATTCACATTTTTTTTTTCATTAATCAAGACTGTAAGAAAGTCTTACTTATCCAAATAGTTACACTAGCAGATCAGACAAATCTCAAATTGCTGATAAAAACTATCGTATTTATTTTGTATGAGATTGTCCTCCACATTTTTTAATATTTTCGCATCTTGTATAAAACATTAATGTTTTTTTTTTTTATCCGTTCTATAATGCATTATAAGTTGAAATTAGGTTATACACATTAGAATGACATCAAAGCATAAAAGAAAGTATATACATTGATTTCAAATGCTAAAAAGAATCCCATGAAGACACTGCTTAAAAAACCAATACAAACAATTCTTGTCATAGCAGGCATTTTCGAAGAACAACTCATCAAAAAGTTTTGAAAATTGCAAAATAGATAAATCTCGATGGATGGAACAAAAGTTATCAAAGACTGAAAATTCTTAAATACTTTGTTCTAGAAAATATCGGGGTCAAAAAGCCCTCAGCTGATCTCTAAGCATAATCGCCTCATGTTCTCAACTAGAATACGTTTGATAAATTTGAAATTATTTTTGACGGACTTTAAATACTATTTGGTATACCTACTTTTTTTTTTATCTCGTTCCATTCGAATTCAATGATCAAGATAATAAGCATAGCTAGAAAAAGACATGTTCTTTTGTGTTTTTTTTTAATTGGATTTTTTTTTTGAAAAGTCTGACGAAAGCCTTCGATATATCATATTTTGAAATAGAAAACCTAGACATCATAAATATTCTCTAGTATAAATAGAAAAAAGCTTCATGTCGATGGAATTTATTGTGGTTAAGAAACATGCACGAGTCACAACTTTTTTCTGTCAACAACATTCATTTATGAAAAGTAGCGAAATAATGTGTAAATTCTGATGATTTTCAGTAAACAACTTGCATATTTTCTAGTTTTCTCATATATTTATTCTTGAAATATGCCCAACGAAAAGAGGATGTCTGAAAGCGTATATTCGGCACAAAAATGAAAAATCTAAACTTTTCCGTCAAGAAGGAGGCAATCGAACGTCCACTTAAAAATGATTTATCGGTCTATTAATGAAAGACTAATTCTAGAAAAAACACAGCTTTTTCTCTAATTACATACTGAGCATTGAATTGCAGCTTACAGATTATCAAAGAGAAAAGTCTTGGTTTTTTAAAATCATTTACTGTTAACATATAAATATTCGCAACTATTTCCACTTTATGACTTACAAATTTATTTGATTCGAAGGTTTCTTAATTGGAACAAAATTTGAAGTAGTATAAAACTTTTATTTGTTTTTGATAGTAGAAAATATATAAGAATACTTAAGAATGCAATAGAAAACAGAAAATGAGATGAGAAAGATATAATAGAAAGAAAAAAGAAGAAGCGTCCAATAGAGAGAAAAGTAAAAGTAAACCAAGCAAGCAACAATTCATTCGTCATAGAACGTGAATAAGCGATGACAAACTAGTCAAGCTTACCTAATAAAAAAAAAACAGAATATTAAGATATGCTTTTTACTTCCTATGCCGTTCCATCTACGTTATTAATTAAGTTCTACACTAAAAAAAATCAAAAAATGACAAATACTACTCATCAACAGAATGAACAATATTCTCTTCGGTCTGACTCAATGCTTAAACTACATGTCAAATTCATGCTTTTTTTTTGTAAATGAAATTATGAAAAAAAAAAACAAAGGACTAAAACATCGACTACGTATCAACGTTATATTTTATATTGGTCACTGTATTTGCATAGATGAAAAACTCTTTACGTTTCAGAAATTCACGAATATAAATAAAAAAAACGTATTAGTAATGAATAGTGAATCTAAAAGCCATTTTATGCCTCTTTACACTTATCTTAAATAATGAGTATCTTTCAATTTCCTTTTCTTAGTTCGAAACCAAATGAATGGAAGAATGAAGTAATCGAGGATTTTATTTTTCTATTTGATTTGTAATTAATACTCAATAATAGCAATAGAATAGTTTTCTAAAGCAATATTACTTTTATCAATATCTTTGAAGCAGAATTTTCAATAGAATGACAAAAATACAGGAACTAGAAATAGTAATATAACCATTAAATTAAACTAATGCGTCAAAGTTTGTTTTTTTTTATTCCTAAGAAGAAATGCTCATCAAAATAGAAATAGTGAATCTATATCCTGTTGTTTTTCATCAATGAAGTCAAGGGAAAGAAAAAATCTATTTTTATTTAATTAAATCATGCATACGAAAAGTAATCTATTTTAAATAGCGATGACACTATCAGTAAACTTTATCGAACTAAAATGTTAATTGAATTAATTTTAGAATTTTTTAAAACTAGAATAGTAAGTAAACTGATATTTAAATTTAAAATTGTTTTTTTTGTTCTTGTATGAACTATACCAAATATTGAGTACGATATTCAATCAATGAAAGTTGTTTATATTATTAGATAACTTTACTATAGAGAACATGTGCGTAAAATGTGAAACAAATGTCAAGTATTCTTTTCAGATGTTCACAAGATTACTATACATAATTGACTTCTTTATTCGACCATTTTGTGAAAAAAAAATGTTTTCCTGTCAAAACTACTAAGATTCTTCAATGGACTGTTAAAATGAATTCGAAAACACATTAAATTTATAAAAAAATTTATACTTGAGAGCTGTTAATTTTTTATTAAGAAATTTTTATATAGACAAATATATGACAAACTTAAGGAGTAGCACTATCGCTACACTTGATAATAATATTTATGATCTACTTTACTAATTCATTTGTATTTATTGATCACTATGAATCTACTTTTATATAGAAGTCATATTAAGGAACACACATCGTCAAGGTCAATACTATAAAGAAGAATTTACATTGGAAAGTGAAGTGTAACGGTCATTTACTGTTATTGTATTTAGTTTAATTTTGGATAAAAGACATCTCGCTTAATTTGGTATTTTCAATACAGAAGCACTTAATCTTGTCAAATACTTGCAACTTTGCTTATTTTCTATTTATATCCCAAGACATTTTTCAATTAAGCAACAAAAAAAAAAGAAACACTTCTGTCAATTTTAATTCTGAGAATGTTTCTCGGTCAATCTAATACACTTAGCAGAGAAATTTTATCAACCATGCCAATCATACATTTATACGCTGTCAGTAATGGAGATTATAAACTTTTCCGGTTCTAACAACTATAAAAATGTCAACATTTCATATTGACCATTTTTTTTATAACAATCAAAATAAAAGACGAATGTCAGATTTGCATAATTACATATATAAAATAAAATTGGTATTTCAATATTGTAATTTATTTTCTGATATTTTTTTTCTCATTAATTTCGATTACAGACAAATAAACATATATATTTATATAATGCTGGTTTTAATAAAATATAACATTGAAACGATAAGACAACAGATAAATATTAAGAAAGCATCTTTAAATTAACATTCAATATGAATTTTATAAAGATTTGATTGTCGATTGATTCTTGACTGCGTTTTTAATTATACTAAATAATGATTGAAATGTATTTATATGAATATGTGATGATGAAGAATGACATGCTTCTAAATGATTTTCAACTGTATTCATAAGTATACATATGTTTCAGTAATCACAACTTTCTTAATAAGATCTTTTAAAACATTTCTACTTTGGTAAAGTAAATGTGATATTGTTTTTCTGGAACACAAATTCTCATTCGATCAATATAAGCAGCATAATTTCTTCCTGGTATACAATGAACCAATGTTACAGAGTGTGATTTACTCTTGTTTATATAAACCTTCAATCATTGCTGATAAAACAGTAATACCTATGCCACCAACAATACATAAATGATGTTTAGCATCATGGACAACAGCAAATGCACCTGCTGGTAAACTTGCTAAGATTGTATCACCTTCATTATAATTTTCAATAAGTTCATTAGTAAAAATACCTTTTGATTCACAATTGTTTAATACCAACACAGTATGTTTTACCATCGTATAATTTCTTTTCTGTATCGATAAAAATGTTAGCAATAACTGTGTAAGCAGCTGACCATGCATCTAAAATGTCTGATGTTACTTTATCATCTAGGAATTCTGAAATAGCTTGAAGTATGTATTTGCCAACTATTGAATAATGTTCTGGTTGAACAGTGAGAGCACGATGCTTATGCGCAATAGTGTATATTTGAGGCATAAGTGCTTTCAATTGATCAATATTTTCAGCAGCAAAATAAATTATATTTGCTAAAGCTAATGTCTGTGTACCGGTTTTTTTTTATTAGATTGATTAAATAAATTTAATAATTCTGAATGAGCTTCAAAAAGGTGTTTGTAAAAGATTGATATTACTTCTTTGCCATTTTCTTTTCAAATTGATCCTGTCGATTTCATGATCTTTTTTTTCATCTGCTGTTATGAACATTTTAAATCTAAGAATAAAATAAAAATTACCAATTTTATTGAATTTCTTGAACCGGCTAAAAATCTGTTCAATAGTAATATTAAACAAGCAGAAATTAATTTTCATTTTATTCCAAGTTCAGAATAGAAAAAATATGAAAATAAAGAATGAAAAAGAAAATTAATAATAACTACAACATATTAGTAACTCATTAGTTCTATTATCCTTGTAGAAATATCAAATAAACAAGTATATTAATTTCAAATTTAAAAATATCTCAGATTATACAAGAAGTTGAATGGCATAACTATTACATAGAAAATTATTCATAGTCATGGAGTATATCATAGTTTATTATGAGATGCTTTTTGATGGTTAATGGATAAGGAAAATACGAAACTGATTCCGATGTAAAGCAAATCAAGATGCGATTTAACATAAAACAGGAACTGACCTCAATGCCTTATCTCATAAATATATAGATAGAATCAGGAGGTGTTGTGCAGTATCAGTAGATTTAATGAGCGAGAAAATAGGAAATATAAGTGAACTATGAGAATGAAAGTCGTGTTTTCTCTATCTAATGGAAGAATGATAGATTTTGTTTACAAGAATATCTTTCGAATGTTTCTTTATTCACATACACATATACTTCATTGAGAATAGTGCAAAAATAATTGAAACTGAATCATAATGGTATCTGTATAAAATTCAACGTAAGTAATCGTATTGTCTTTGACAGTGTTTTCGTATGTGGTTTTATTCTAATGATAGTTGTCAATAGTCGAACACTTTAGTTTTGTAATATTATTTGAACTTACTTAACTAAAAGAATCGAATGCACAAAACATATTGTATGATTATGGTTAATTATTAAAGATTCAAATCATATATTTGCTTCATATCTATGATCATTGGCTATCGGTGAGAACGTTTTTTGGACAGATATGAATAAAATTCTCAAAATCAAGTTTGGTTATTTTATCATTATAACCGAGAAATATTTACTCATCAAGAACTAGTAGAAACTAAATTTAGCAGAGAAATAAGAGGATAGTCATCATTAAATTTTACTTGATTTAGTTTCTAAAAATACTTACATAAAGTCGCAGTAAGTTTTATAGTTCATGATGGAATATAGGTCACAGCGTGCATATAAAAAAATCAAGAAACTGAAGCAAAAACCTTGATTGTAATAACCCTGCTGTGCATCGCGCCATCATGACATCTTTATAGTGAATTTTATCATTTCCGCTTGTTTTGATCTCAAATATGATGCTTTCTCCGCATTTTTCTGTACTAAAATAATGTTCGTCTTGTAATAAACGAATATTTTCGTCGTTTTCTATCCTTTTAGAATTACTATTATAAGTGTTCGAAAGATCATATATTGAATCCGACAAAGTTGTACAGACAATAGTTTTCATTGTATATTAACAAGAACTTAACTAAATTGTAGATTTACCTTATTCATATAAGATGAGAAAAAGATTATCAAATATATCTCTTTATAGTATGAAAAAGAATAATATCTCACAGTAACCGATTAAACATCTGTTTAATTACTCGTTTTTATTAACATTTGTCCACTATTTTACCAAATTGTCAGTTTATATTTGGAATTCTCTTAGTGTGTACCAATTGAAAATAATTTTGTTTGGGACGCTATTATCTATAGATCATATCTGCTATAGTATCATCCGAAATCAGGTAGAAAGTTCAGTAAGGATCCAGTAAGTACAACATGTAAAGATGAACATATGAAACTTACTGATTATTTTGACCATAGTTTTGTTAATGTTACAAATGACACGTTTTATATATATTGTTACTTGTTGAAAATAGATGCGACTATTCACCAATGTCCTAAAGCAACAAGTGCCACAAGTAAGAAAACAGAAGAGTGGTAACATAAAGAACTAGTCAGAGAAACAATCCTTAATGATGCGTTAAAAATTAAAGAATAATAAAATCGAAGCCTTGTAAAATTCGGTTTTCATTTTAGATGATTAACGCACGTCTATGGTCCAATTTCTGCAATGAGCGCATCCCTAGACAAAGAAGGGAACGTGTGTGAATGGATGTGTATATGAGCATGGTTGACTGAGAGTAGACGTGTGAGTACGTGAGTTAGGATGTCGGGATGAGTAATACAAGATCTGCACTCATATCCAAACCTACATCCCACATTCAAACACTGACGAATTATTCTAACAGTAAGAATTTATTAAATTTATTCATTTAAATCAAGAGTTAGTAGTTGATTCGAATTTTTCTAAAAAACATTCTCCCCATTCATTAAGCTAGGTGTAGCTCCGTAGCGCTCTATCGAATGGTATAAGTTTCAATGGAATTGAAACTTAATGTTTGTTGAAAAGGATTGCTCACACATCTCAAAGATAAAAAGTCAGTTTTCATGTTTTACTGGCTTTTTATTGTTGCATAGTCACATCGAATAATTTACATTTTGTTATGATTTTTATGTGTTTTCAAAGAATAAAATAATCAGTAAGAAAAACAATTCTATCGAATTAATACGAACACATTCTTAAATTATCGATCATAAATGTCAGATTATTTTGTTTTGATATTGATGAGAACCATTTGTCATTACTTCAAGAAATTGTAAACTACAACATAATACTCATTATTATACTGATGCCACATTTAAAAATTCGTACATAATATATCTTTAGTTTGCCTTTTTTTTTTCTTCATTTGTTTTGATATATAGCAATTCACAAAGCACTATTTCTTTTTCGCTCATTTTTTACGTAACAGATTTCATAATTTATCAAAAAGTATCAAAGCATATATAATTAGTTCCATTTTTAACTGTTTCAATGTAGTAAAGTGTCTTGTTTTTCTTTTTTACATTCATCTGTATTCAACTCCTATCTAAGTATTCTATTTCAAATAGTGAACTATGAAGTTATCTGAAAATACTAATGATACCAAAAAGAATATTTAATCAGAAGTAATACGACGCAAGTTCTCTTATCAAGAAGTTCTATGCACATAATCATATTGATACAGTTGACTTTCTTTGATCAGTTACTATAATCACGCAACGCCAAAACTTATGATGTTAATGGCATTTCTTCAAATTTCACAATCTGAAGTATAATCACACTGATATATCTCATTCAATTAACCTTCTTCAATTGAACTCAGTTAACCTTGAATAGTAGTACATATTGTAATATCGATAGTCAGACAAAAATGTTCAATGCAGAGACTTTCTAAATAAAAAAACAAAAGAATCATTTTCGTTGCATTTTGGATTTTCATTACTATATGACACTATTTCAAAATAAAAATTCAATTAAATTTAAAATCTACTTAGTAAACTATATCTTAAAGCGTGTTTAATTGATAGACATTGTATCAGACATTAAAAAGAAACGATATTAAGATTAAGAACTCTACATATTATAATCATTGAATTTCTCTTTTCATTCAAATATATTCGAAGTCATTTGATATAGTTCGTCTAACTGTTTAAGAAAAAATAATTTGATTTGAAAATCGTATAAAAAATTTTATCCATCATTGTAAAGTATTATATTTCTTCATTTTATTATGCAAATAAGAGTATTTCAAACACTATCATTTTAAATAGATCTGTAAATTCTCTACGAAAACTTCATGCAATAGAGAAAAATAATCATAAATATTCATTCAAATTTTTACTAATTAATTGTGGAATGACACTTTTTTTTGTCTGTTTTTGTTCTTTGTTTTTGCAATAGATATTCATCAAACATTACCTTTATACAGACACAACAAACAGAATATCGCAGAAAAAGAAAAAGAAGAATTGTTCTATCAAAGAATGGAAATAACAACAACCATCGATTGACAACATCAATATGAAATAAGCGAGAATAAAGAATCCTACAAGGAAAAACTTCCTTGATCAAAAAAATACAGCAGAAAAGAAAAAGGACGATACAAATAAAGTTTTTTGTTTTTTTTTTGACCTTATGTCTACTTTGAAATATAAATAAATAATCAAGAAAAAATGAAATTCATTCAATAGCACAAGTTAGTCACCGAGGATTTGATGTTGCTGAAGAATCAGACGGTAAATAATAATAAAGTTCAAATGTATCCGTATTTTCTGCGAGTCCATCAATTATCTCAGAAAAATAAGCCGCTATATTTTCAGTTTGTTGTGGCGTTGCTGCTTTTCGTACAAATGCATGTTCTAATAATTTTTTATATTTTGGTCTTTGATTTTCATCTTTATTCAAACTAAATTTGTTAAAATTAGATAAAGTTTTTTTTTTTTTTAAAAGTAAGAAGATATTTCTATTACCATGTATTTACAAAATCTTTGCAATTATTTGAAAGACGATCAACGTTAAGTCGTAAGGGAGGACCTTCTACAATTTGTTGTAATTGATCAAATACAGATGTCCATTCTCGAAATGGAAAATATCCTGTGGCAATTTCATACTATAATATACATATTTATAGATTTAATGTTTAGTATAATTTTCTTTGAAAAGAAAAATATTTACAATAGTAATGCCAAGTGACCAAACATCGGATCGAACATCATAACCATCACGTGTAGCTCGTAATGGATCGATTCGTTCAGGCTAAATATATAAGAATAGATTTAAATAAAAGAAATTAAACGAATGTTACTGGTAAATATGGTCGACAACCAGCATCACGTGTTTTAGCAATTGAATCAATTAACTGACCACTTATACCAAAATCACAAAGTTTAATTGTCGTTCGAGAAACTAATATATTTGATGGTTTTACATCTCGATGAATAATTTGCCAACGAGATTTTATATAATCAAGCGCTTCTAAAGCCTAGAAAACAATTCAACAAAAAAAAAAAAAAAGAAGAATTAATTTAAATACTCTTATGAGATAATCATACGGCAAGAGTTATATAAGCAAGAACACTTTCAGGTATACACTGATTAAGTTTATGATAAACATATTTATAAAAACGATCAAGTGATGTATCCATTAATTCCATACAAATCCAACAATCTCCTTCTTTGAAGAGAGCTCCATAAAATTTAACAATATGTGGACAAGTATTTTCACGCATGACAATATCTAATTCATTGAGCATTTGTTTTTGACATCGTTCATCAACAGTTGAACGAATTCGCTAAAAAATATAGACAAACAAAATAGAAATTTTCATTCAAAATATAGATGATTTCAATATGATTTACTTTTACTGCCATTATCATTCCACTTTTTGCATGTTCCATTTTACATACAATTCCAAAATTACCTTCTCCAATAACACCACGATCAATTAAATCATTGGCTGTAAATTTATAGACCTTAAAAAAATATAAAAAATAAAAACCTATAAATTAAAAAAAAAAAAAACAAACTTTTGTATCAGACAAATGAAGTTGGCCAGTACTAAGATCACGATGGTTCGATGTTGATGAAGTTGGTCGACTACTATTAAATAAAAGCAAATATTTAAAATCTATATTTCTTGATGAGTCACTTGGAAAAATAAAAATTAAGTCGAAATATAATTGTTCATTATCACCATGGATATTTAATTAAAAAATCTTAACACATTGAATAAAGAATAGCAGATTGTTTATTTTGAATTTTAAAAGTCTACTGTCATAATGTTATTTTTAATATTTTCTTTCTATCTCTTACGAGGAAATATTTTCAATTGATCAATCATTTTCTCATTCACAAACGAGTTTCGAGTAAAATAATGTGATCTTGAACATTTTCACATTGAGATATTAAAATGGCTGTATTTTCTGCAAAAACATCGATATGACACAGAAAAAGTTTTTTTTTTTTTTAATAAGCAATTCGACATCTTCTATAATCTAGATAGATCGAAAAAGATCTTATGAATGTGAACTTTTGTTTAACTGTAACAGTTCTTGTAAAATAACTACTTTGAAGTCAATCAAAATGATAATTCGTATGATATTCTCAGTTATAATATCTATTTTTGTTTTTTGTTATGTTTACATGAATCATTTACGATTCATTATGACACATATGAGATAATCGAATTTTTATCGATTATATCTTTTCTATATAAATAAAATTATTAATCGAATGAATTTTGAATAGTGAAAGACAAAAAATTACTTACGGTATACGATTAACATCTGTCGAATCGGAAGGTGGTTTTTCTGTAGTATTTTTTGGTGGTTGTTGAAAATCCAATGGTTTTAAAGTTAATTTAGAGGGTGGCTTGCTCACTAGATTACAATATAATAAATTCAATTTGTATTCTGATTTTTGATACTATTTTCGAGTAACTTACTGTTTTCTCACACTATCTGAATGATTGAATAGTTAAATAAAAGAACATTACATCTAGAACGAGAAAAAAAAAGTGGAAGTGAAAATATGAGTCATTGTCAATGAACTAATGATTTATTATGCGCATAGACACAGAGAAAAAGAAAAAAATCAATACAAATCCATTTGAATAATTGTTGATGTTTTTTTTCAAAACTAATATCAACCTGGATGACTCATTACAATCAAGAGGCTACCAATCGATTTCACACTGTCAAACTATTAGAGAAAAAAATGATTTTTATCATATAGAAGAATGATCGAAAAAAAATAATACAAGGTCAAGGAGATGCATTCAAAGTTTGATTATATAAAACTAAAAATATATTTCTTCACATCTAGACTTGAATAGATGGATTTAGTCTTATTTGATTTAAGATTTAAACTGAAACGATTCCTCAAAATATATTGACTATCGGCTCATATAGAATCCATATTATCAAGAGTATTGATCAAAAAACTATTATTTTGTTCCCGAGAATATTTTCATCTGCAAAATACTACGAAACAATCAATTATTTCCCTAATTAAATAGACAACATTGATAAATGCTTTTTTTTATTGTAAAAAAAGAACCCTAAGGAGACTTTTTTCTTGTGATATTGATGTTTCACAATGGAATGTTCCTTCGCCTGGGAACACAATTCTTAGTTTCAATGAGACTAAAAATGAGTTCTAGCTTTCAAGAAAAAAAACTATATGAAAGGGTTTAAATTTGATATGTAACTATTATACTGATCTAATGATGTCGGGTTTGCTAACAAATTCAGTGCCTTAAAGGGGAAGTGTTCGTTTTGATGGAGAGTTTTTCGAGTATCTTCGGAGATCAACATACGAATAAAATTTCATATCACAAGCGTTTCATCGGATTATCATATAAAAAGAACAGGGAATATTTTACAAATCGAACAGAAAAAAAAACAAATCTTCAGAAAAAGAAAAGATACTGGTCTTGATAGTTTACTTCTTTTTTTATCTTTGTCAAAGTCAAAAAATCAATATGACATTCCAAACAAATAAAAGACAACAAAAATTGTTCTGGTTTTTTAATATTTATTTTCAAAAGATAAAAGAAAAGAAAAAGATATTTGCAAAAAGAAAAATTGATCACTGTAAAATAATATTAATCAATCGATGTTGATGATATTGCCTTTTGTTGTTCTAATTGATATTCAACAAATCCATCAAATAGACATGGCCATGCTTCATTATCATCGTATGCTTTATAACCATTTAATTCAATAAATTTAGCGAATTGTGGAAATATTGTCCATGTATCACATGTTATAGTTTTTGGTATTTCATTATTTATATCTTGTTCTAAATAATTTAACCATTGTTCAAGTATTTGAGGTTTTTTTATTGCTTTTGAATAAAATAAACGCCATAAACTAATGGCATTTTGCGTTGTTACACAACGCTGTCCATCAATTAAACCATAATGATACGTCCAACTATAAAATTCACTTTCATATGGTAATATATCATAATTAAACAATGATGTTCGTAGATCAGATAAATTATCAATATGATTTCCAAGTGTTTTAAGACCAAGAATAAATTCATCTTTTGTTAATGAATACATTTGTTTAGCACGACATACAAAACAAAATAAAAGTACTTCATAACAATCAGGTTCAATAGATAAATCATTACAAAGACGAAGTATACCATCAACAGACATGATTTGTTCATCATCAGAATAATGTTTAAATAATTGTAAACGACGATCATTTGAATTTGAATTAGAAGATGAAGATGTTGATGATGATGACTGTTTTGAATCTGATGATGATGATGAAAGAGTAGATGATAATGTTCCAGTTATTTTAGCAAGGAGTTCAGGAATTTTATGTAATGGTAAATCACGACGAGGTTCTAATGTTGTAGTTGTTGTATTCATTTGTCTATATGAATGACGATATTGATTTGATTGTTGTTCAGATGCGTCTTGTTTAGCTTTTTTTTTAACGTGTTTTGTTGAAACTGATAGATGATTATTATTATTATTATTATTGTTATTATTATGTGACATCAATCTTCTGTCTGAACGAGTTTTTTCAATACACTGGCCCATGGACAACAAAACGACAACTAGAAATAAGAAAAGAAATTTCCAATTTAAATAAAAAAAAAAATAAATAGCACATTTACAATAATGACAAATAAGCAGCAATAATATTTGGAAATGCCGTTGGCATTCTACAAATAAATAGAAAATAATTAAGTACACTATTTAGAAAAAAAAAGAAAATCTTTTGTATTGTATTTGTTTTGTTTAGTATCTGTTGATTTTCTACTTGTTTCTTTGAATACGCCTCGTCATCAGCCGACTTATGGACGGCATGTAGATTGTTTTTTATTGGATAATATTCGATCAATAACGTTTTTTACTCTACCATTAGAACTCTATTCTGTCCTCGTACTTCCTTAAAGTTAATCTGTATGATTGCCTATGATATAAACCAATTAATTTTATGTTAAGCATTTTTTCTTCTTTCGTCTTTTTTTTTGAATATTGATAATTAAGAAAAAAAAAAAAAAAGAATGTGTTCTCGTTTGGTCTTTCGATCTATTCAAAATTCTGTACCCTCATTAATTTATAATCGTTTTCTATCTTTAACTCAAATTGAATCAACTGCTACAACAAAATTAAAAGAAACATCGACTACAAATGTTGAAAAATCATCAATACAAACTAAAAAAGATAACAAAAAAACTGAGACAACAATACCACAAGATAAAACAGTAGATTCTTCCACAACAACAACACCAACAAATGTATCTGAATTAAATAAAATTTATTCAGAAAAAATTCATCGAATTGTTAATGAAATAAGTAAACTATCGTTGGTTGAAGTCATGGATTTAAATGAATTATTAAAAGTAAAGATTTTTATTTATCTAGAGATTTTTATTTCATAATTCGAATTTAAAAAAAAAAAGAAAATTAATTTAATTGTTTCTTTTCTATTTTCCTATAGAAAACACTCAATATACAAGACGTGCCGATTGTGGCATCGGGAGGAGGCAGTGGTCTACCACCACCGGCCGCACCGGTACGTCTAATTCTTTCTATGAGTGAATTGCATTTTATTGTACTAGTTATGAGATTTATTATGAAGCAAACATATTGTAATTTGAGATGAATTTTTCTGTCATCTGTTTTTCATTAAAAAAAATGCTTTATTCTGGATGATAGCCATCGTTTCTTCTGGAAATATTCAGAAAATATTACAATAAATGAGTTTCAATGCTTTAAACTCGAGATATTCACTTTCCAAATTTGATCCTAATGATTCATAGATGATTTTATAGGATTCTTGTGTCTATTGTCTACAATATTCGATAATACTGTTTCAAGAATTCTATCTTAAATGTATTCAATACCGATATTTCATAGATGTACTATGAGAGAAAGATTTTTGAAAAACCAAACACAATAGTTTTCAAATCTCAGAAAATCGTATGAAAATTAATTTTTAAGAGCACCACTCTGAAGAACATAAAATTCTGATCGAAATGAGGATCTGCCGCATTTCCTACGACCTTTTTCTAAAAAATTATAAGTATCACAACTTGAAATTTATTATAGCGTTGTTTGTTTTTTTGTAATGCTTATAACTTTTTAAGGAAAGTTTTTTCAAAAACTTTTCTCTCATAGTTTATCTAAAAAGTTTCGATGTCAAATACATTTGACAGAGAGGTTTATTGACTATTCAAATCACTATTTGGATTTGAACGATATATATTTGAGATCTAAGAAAAAAAGTCAAGAATAAAGCATGAAAAAATAGTCTTCGAATCTTCATCGTACAGAGATTGCAATTCACTCATATATCAATTATTCTTGTATGTTTTGTTTTTTTTTGCATTTATTACAGAAAAAAGAAGAAGAAGAAGACGAAGGTGTTCGACCAACATCTCAAGCTGTATTTAAAGTACGTTTAATTAAATTTGATGAAACAAAGAAAGTACCTGTGATTAAACAAGTAAAAGACGTTGTGGAAAATATCAATCTTGTTCAAGTGAGTATTGTTTTTTTCATACGTATATATATCTTCTATCTATATTCATTTGTGTGTGATTGGTTTGTTTAGGCGAAAAAATTAGTTGAATCGATACCTCAAATTCTACGTGATAATTTAAGTAAAGCAGATGCTGAAAGAATGAAAGCGAAAATTGAAGCAGCTGGTGGTGTATGTGTCATTGAATGAGAGTCTTAAACAAATCTTTTACTCTCAACTAGTCCGAATCGTTATATGCTCTTGTTGATTTTTTTTTGTTATCCTGTTTGCTTTTTGTATAAAAACAAAAAAAAAAAACTCTGTGATCATTTGTTAACTTTTTCTTCCTTATCTTCAATGAAGAATGACTCAATGAAAGAGACAAAAAAAATGATATTCGAACGATTCTGTTTGCCGACATTTTTTTCTTGTTATATGTTATATATTGTTGCTGTCAACAACAAAAAAAAACCAAAAAATTACTTTTTTTGATTCATTTCGTAGAAGTTTTAGATGGAAGCCAAGATAACTGAAGCAGTACGACAAAAAGGAAATTTACAAAATTTTGTTGATCAATATGGAAAATTATTAGAAAAACGACCACAAAATGCAAATGGTAAGGAGAATTCTATTTGAATATTGAAACAAGAACAACCTCTAAGAATAAACTATCGGTTAAGATTAAAAAAATCACATTTAACATAGTAGAATTATTCTGATACTTTATTTTCTTCTGCGTAAAAAAAACTTGTCAGTAAAACATTATTTATATTTTACGTTTTAGAAAATGAAATAATGAAAAGAATTTTCTTTTTTTTTTAACAAGGTGAAACAAATAAATCTCGTCAATGTTATCTATAAATGTGTTAAATTTTATTAAAAATATTTATTCAACGTATGAAAACATACTTAGAATAAATCATGGCAATCGCAAATGTTTAGAAAAAAAGGGCATGATTTATTGTATTAAAATTATTCTTTCTTCAAAATCGAAGCTACGTAATTAAAATCTTGTAGGAAATACATTTCTAATTTTATATCCAAATCGAAAACTTTTCTAGTCTTCGATAAGACATTATGTTATTCGATTCCGACTAACTCTAATTATTTAATCGGAAAAATTAGCAATTTCTTGCAAAGGATTTAATTTAATAAAATAGACTTCAGATAAAACAAAATCGTTAATCCCTCGTCATCAAAGAAGTCTCCAATACTTCTAAAATGCATAAATACTCAAAAACTTATAGAAGGACGGTGTAGTATAGATATGAGCGTTACTTAAGAGAAGACTTATGCACCGGCACCATTTCATGATATAATGAGCAGAAGAAATATTAATTTGTTAATCTATGATAATTATCAAATATCTGTCCGAAGACAATGTGACATTTATAGAGTACATCGTCTAGGAAACATATCAAACTGTCCAATGCTGTTGGACTCAATATTTTGACTCTGAATAGACCTCAGTGAAACTAAGAAAATCCAAGAAAAGGAAGGAAAACTTAATTATGAGATTTTCAGTTGAGATTTCGTTCATCGATAGGACTCACAACTACTAGAATATCTTAAGAGTTACAGTTGAAACGAGTGTGATCTCTAGAAAGTATATATTCGTTTGAGCTGAGACTTTCAAGATACTCTAAAGAACATGAGCCTTACGTATGAACAAAATTTTAGATAAAAATCTTCTCATTGAATTTGCTATGAATAGCTGGCTCAAAAGACTAAAACGATCATAAGTCTGATCGAATAACATATAGATTCGAATCCATTTAGGTTTTTCTTAGTTTCAATCGGTCCTAACTAAAGTCAGACTAAAGGATCGAATCGTGTTCGACAGTTGGATATGTCGTCTCATTAGTTTCAGCAACCTGACACTAAAATCTTAGTGTAAGATTTTTGTGAGATCTCACCAACATATAGGAATTCCTATCATCTCATAGAACCATCTTACATAGTAGCAAGATCTTCCAAGAATCTCATAAAATGATTTATTGTAAGACATCTGACACTGAAAATTTTTGTACAGTTTTCGTCTGATTGTTAACATGTGCAAAAAATAACGAATCCTATTGATTCTAATATCTTTATGTCTGGCAAAGTTTCATGAAGTCTTGAAGTTCACTCTTTCCTTTTTGATTTGAACAGTGATGCAAATCTTTATATTTGCTCAGAAATATCAAATTTAATTTGCATGTATGATCGAAAAATTTAACTCTAATTTGAATATGTTCAAAATCTTTCTTCGAACAGTTCAGTTCTATGAGGAATGATACTTTCGAATACGAAAAAATCATTTCTTACTGAAATACTATTTCCAAAGCAGAAGAAAATTTTTCGCATAGCTCATTTCCACGAATTGAACTGGATGCTGATCGATGCCTAATTTGAATTGAAACTATATTTTCATAGAAAAACATATCATACATTTTATTACAAAGTAATCAATGCTTCTCATATTAATTTTTGTCTTTCAGAAATATATCGTAGTACAGCAGAAGCTTTATCTCATGAATTCGATCAAGATTATTCAAAAATAACTGGTTATATTCAAACAAAAATTGATTGGCCACTTTCATTTAAACGTTTACTTCTTCATCGTGTTCAAAGAGATTTATCTGATAATCAGGGTAAACTTGATAATATCGCTAATTTTGTATTTGATCCAACAGCAAGTATCAAACAAAATCGTCGTTTTCATATATTTATTCCAACAATTGCTTCAGTTGAACGGCAATATGGTTCTGGTGTTAGTACATTATTTCATCTTCAAACTGGATTTTTTCTTATTAATTTATTAACATTAATTGTTTGGCTTGCATTAATCATTATACCATATAATATTTTAAAATCATCAACAACATCTTCAAATGTTACATTTACATTTTCATCAATATTTACTACAAAAGGTTATTTATCTGAAACAATTCTTTTTCAAGGTTCTTATCCTAAAGGAATAATAGATGAGAAATATAATTTATCCTTAATATATTTAATAACAACATATATTTATTTTATTATTTGGTTTATTTTTATTACAATACGTTTTGCAATAACATATAAACGAAAATTATTTGATTCAATATTAAGTGCTAAACTTGGTATAGGATTTATGTGTACATTTGCACGACATGATTATACAGTTAAAACAGATAAAGAAAAACAAAAACATATGACAGCTTTTCATAGACAATTTCTAGATTTAATTGAAAATGATGAAAGAATTGAATCAAGTCATCAGAATCAAAATAAAATTCGTGGATATAAAATTAAAATGGTTATAAAAAATTTATTATACATTTTATTAGCTATTGGATTAGGTAAGAAAAATAACAACAAATAATTTAATTTATTTTTTTTTTTTTTGCTTTTTCATTTTAAAGGTGCTATCAATTGGCTAATTTTATCTTCTTGTGATAATCCAACTATTGATTGTTCGGGATCAATTATTTATGTAGCTTTCATCAATCGATTAATGCCATATTTTATTGTTCTTCTTGCACAAGTTGAACATTTCCAATATTTAGCTGATAAATTAGATACTGTTGGATTTAGGTGAATATTCAAAAAATCTATTTAAAATGATAAAGATAAAAGGCATTGTTTTGAAAATAATTATATGTGTAACTAAATGAATTAACTTTTCTAACCATGTAATAACACAAATAGAAATGTGCGGAATAAGATGTTTTCGTATCCTGTATCTTGACTGAGAAAAACTTTCAAACATTTATCTTGCACAGCTTTAGATACAAATGAATAATTAATTAGTCCATCTCTCTTTTTTACATCCTACTAGGATGGTCGAAAACCTCAATTAGACTTGGAGAACAAATCATTGAATTTTATTTGATTTAACTGCTGTATTTGAATGCATCTCGTGGATTTTCACAAGGGTTGACTTTGATAAGTGAATAACTTTTCAAATTGGCAAAATAGAATATACTAACTTCGATTTATCAACCCTTGTAACACTTAAATCATCTAAGCTTTTCATTCAGTTTATTAGAAAGTTATGAGTTTAATTTAATCAACAATCCATTGAAAAGATTGAGTCAGCAAGGTTCCTAAAATTTGATTTAACAAAAAGGTTTCAAAATCAGTAGGACGGACACCAACAACTTGATATCATAATAAATTCTACTCGGTTAGTCTTGTTCATTTAGACATACATCCATAAAAACTTGTCAAAGACAGAGTTTGTTTTCACACAATCTTGACAGTAATCTTATAATAATTAAATCAAATTGATCTGCTACTTTGAGAGTACGATCATTCATTGAATAGACTTCGATCTCAGTTTTGATTTTGGAGACCAATCCAACAGATTATAACTTTAGCACATATTTACAAATTAATAACTCGATTAACTAAAAATAAAATGATTTCAAGAAAAGAGAAACTATCAACAGTGAAAAGTTCGATAATATTTTGTGGAAAAAAAAATTAGAAAATGAGTTACATTTTGTTAATTAGTCACAAATACTTTTTACTAAATCGTTTAAGAAATTTTTTCTTCAATGAAATATTTGTTTAGATGTATTCTTATGAACATATGTACGATGTTATCCTTTACTATATATTTTTTTATTAATGCACCTTTATGTTATGAAACAGCTTATGGTCAATATATCTATATACTTTTATTATCAGGTAAATTTCATAAAATATTTTAATTATTAAAATCTAAAATATTTCTTTTAGATTTATTTGCATCATTAATTTTTCCAATTTTATTTGGTATTTTATTCGATATAATGTGTGGTAAAAAGAGTCTCAATTTCGATGGTATTAATCTACATGTTCAATTAAGTCCACCTGTATTACTCTATAGTCAATTTCTTATATGGCTTGGAATTTATTTTTCTCCACTTATATCAATAATGATATTAATAAATATATTATTTTCATTTATTTCCCATCGTTTATATATATATATTCGTTCACTTGGTTCAAGTTCCTATAAACGTGTTCTTTTTTGGAATGCTCATCGTCTTGAATATATGATATATTTATTGGCATATATTATTTTAATAGTAAGTGTAACATGTGTTGTTGTATTTACAACACAAATAAAACCAAGTGAAAATTGTGGACCATTTCGTCAATTGAATGTTTCATATGAAGTTATTGAAGTTTTTTCAAATGAATATCAATCATCTGTCTTATGGATATCAATTATTAATTTTTTAACATCACCTGGTTTTATTTATTTTCTTGGTGCTATATTTTTTGTTGTTGCTTATAAATTAAGACATGAAGAATTAGCTGAAAAACAAGTAATATTCATATCATATCTTTTTTTTTTTTTGTTAATATATTGATTATTTTTTTTTTTATTATATTTTAGATTGTATTCATACGTAATAGTAGTCTTACAAATAAAAAAAAATTACGAGAAAAAGCAGTAAAAAAATTACATCAACAAAAAAAGATTAAAAAAGAAAAACGAAAACATGTTAAACCAAAAACATATGATGATGACAATAATGTTGACAGAGACGAACAATTTTAAAAAATTATCTGATTTTATGTGCAACTATTTTTCCGTCCAGATTTACTTTTTTTTGTTTTCTTTATTTTTGAAATATTATATTCAATATTTTAATTCATCTATTTCATTTTTTTTTTTAATGAACTTTTTATACTTCAATTTTATATTGAAATCTAAAAGTAAATCTAAATGTCCATGTTTTTTTTTCCTTACGAGAAAATATTACTAACTACAAAACAGCAATTTGTTTACAAATATGTTTTCGTAAGATTTATACAATTATAGAGAGATTTTTCTATTACAAACTTTTAATGTTATTACTTAAAATATCCTGTATGACAGAATATGGCAAAAAGTTATGCTTCTTCTATGTCTTGATGTAACATGATTGTAGAGATTCAAGTTATTTTTTTCGTAAGATAGTTCAGAATTTTCTCTTTAAAATTCATTTAAGAAAATGTCTAACCTGAGTATATTTGATTTGTATTATGCACTACTTATTTTGACTTTTTAGAAAATTTATTCGCAACATAAAATCCTATATGAAGTTTCGTTTGATATTAAGAAGATAGGAATATTGATAATAAGAAACCTAACTGTATGCGTTGATAGATTTTTAGAATTTTTTTATCATGGTTCAATCATTCCAAAGATTGTCACAATCTCACACGGAAATTTCTCGAATTGTTCCATCGCTTTTCAGCCGAGACTATGGGAATCATGTAGATTCCAATAAGATATGAATACTTTGAAAAGAGTTCGTGTCCTTAACTTCTTACTACAGAAATGCTACAGTTTCACGATATTTTTTTTATATGAATTCCATGGTAAAAGAAAAACAAATTTTCAAATTTTGCATTTGAAACAGACTTTAACGAAATAGTTTGTTTTATAAAAGTTTCAGGACTTTCAATTTATTTCCATCTTGAAATAAGAACACGAAATCTATTGGTTTACATGAGTAATGTAACAGACACTCTATTTCTACAGCTGTATCTTAGCATAGGAATAGTGATAAGGCCTAAAAATTCGCAAGCAACTATTTGTGATAGGATCTGTCTCTATGCAAAATATCAAGTCGAAATTCAAAAATCAGTTTTTCTGCATCACCGAATTTATTTAAGAAGTACTGTAAAAGTGCAGTATGTTTGTAGCAATACGCTAAGAGCACGAAGTCTTTTCAAGATATTCATATATCATTTGTATCTATATAATGCACACAGTCACGACTCGAAAACAATTAAACAGTTGGAAGACTGTTTTCGTCAGAAAAATTGAATAGGTGAAATAAGAAGTCAAATGGTATCTAACAATTGGAAATAATCTCTGATTCGATCTTGTCATAGTTTATGTTATTCCGATTTAGTTCATATTTGATTAAAAAATATTTTTATTTTAGATACAAAAACTTTCTGTTTATCTCAGCTGAAAAACATCGACGGAGTCTTGTAGTTTAAGGTAGATAGCTTTTATTAACTGTCCTTCATTTGATTCTCTTAAGACAATATTTTATGAAATAGTTGATAATATAACAAGAAGTTTTCATACTTTTCTTTCCAGTTCTACAAATGATCAGTCAACATTTGACTACTCAGACATTTTTAGAACTAAGTCCATCAAAGTCACAAGTATCATTAATATCTTCTCTGACTCAAACCCAAAAAAATTATTTATTTCTAAAAGTAATTTGAAAAGATTAATATCTATTTGCTCACATAGAAGAAATTTCATTGATAAAGATCTTATTTTTACCAATCTCTACGTCTAACATAATTGACATTGAGAAAAAGCTATGGTTCGAATACTTTTCTATAGAACTTAATATTCATTTTTAATATTTATGATGAACAGAATGATTTGTAAAAAATGAAAAAATTTTTCTCTTAGAAATGGCAGCTTGTATTATTGACAAAATTTAAAACAATTGTAGGTTGTATGATCAAGGTAATGCTGTTTTTCTATACGATGTAACATGGAATTGTATGAAAAAACACACCTAATGGATAATAAAAATATTTAGTTACAATCGTGGATGAAGGAACTTTCACACGTTCGAATATTTTTTTCAATAGACTTAAAACTACAGCATTCAGAGTACTCTCATTTCAAAAAGAATTCTTTACCACTTCGGATGAGTAAAAGCGTTTTTAATTGTAATCATATTTCATTTTTAAGACCCTCAAAATCTTAAAACTTCAATGTTGATACCTATCGAATAAGAAAAAACTCTAGTTCACTAGATTAATTCATCTAGAATTTCGTCGAGTGAGGTGGAAACCATAAAAGACATTAGGTTGTATTTAGTAAGATCTTATTCGACATTTTCGACATGACATAAAATGTCGTTGTGCTGAATATATAATCAAGCATTGAAATACAAATCGAATCAATACGATTTCTCTCTAATCATTTCGTTTTCCGTTGTACCGTACAGTTTATTTTTTTATGCAAAAAAATTTTTAATCGAAGCTATTAAACTTATCAGTGCATGAAATATGTATTTTGTTTTTTTACAGATTTCATTTCACATGTACAAACGATTTGTTGATCCTGATTCTACAGATAGTGGTGGTTATGAACGCCGTCCACGAGGAACAAAAGAAAATGATGAAAATCATGAATATTCAAAAAAATCTTCAACTCCTTTTAATTCTCATTTAATTGATGATAATCATCTTAAAAAACCTTGTAAAGCTTGTATTGATTTTAAAGATTGGTTAAAACATAGTACTAATAATAATAATAATAATACTGAAAGAAAACCAATTGTTGTTGAACAACAAATTTCAATTAATTCTGAATGTCCATTAATGCGTGATGATTTAGGTCGTGCAACATGGTCATTACTTCATACGATGGCTGCTTATTATCCAAATGAACCAAAAAAAGAAGAACAACAATCAATGAAACAATTTATTAATTCATTTTCTAAATTATTTCCTTGTCCTGAATGTCGAACTGATTTTCAAGAAGAAATTGTTAAATCACCACCTGATGTTTCAAGTTGTATGGCAATTTCAACATGGATGTGTCAACAACATAATATAGTTAATAAAAAATTAGGAAAACCTGAATTTGATTGTAAACGAGTATTAGAAAGATGGAAAGATGGACCAACAGATGGTAGTTGTGATTAATTATTTGCATTTCTTTTTTTTTATTAGTTTTTGAATAAAATAAAACAAAAGAAAAAATTCTAATTGAATTGAATACAAGAGAATTTTTTTCATTATGTACAAGAGATATTCTTAAACTGATTTAGTACCATTCAGTGCTTGTGATAGAATTTGTGGATCAACAGCAACAATTACATTAAGAACAACATTTACAATAGCTAAAATAACAGATAATATAAGTGAAAAATTATTTAATAATACTAAACGATGTTGTCGTCGTTCTTTTGATATATCATCAGTACCCAATAAAACCAATATACATGCATTTATAACTTGAATAAATAATGAGACACAAACAAGTGTAAGACCAACGTACCAGAGTGTATCTTGATTTGTTTTATGACCAAGAAGAGTTTTTAATTGAACAGCATTTGTTACGAGTAATGCTATTTCAAAACTACTATTAGCCAAAGTTTTTTTGGTTGCATAATTATTAAATGTACAATGTCCGCCAGGTAGATCACATCGATGATTTCCTGCATTTTCAATACTCATAGATTGTTTCGGTATCCTAGATAAAAAGAAAAATGCTGTGTTTAATTCTATAGTTAAAACATCTGACATTGAAGCAAGAATACACGTCTGCAAGTTATAAGCAGGTGATTTATATTGCGATTATATAATACTCTCTCTATGTCTTGGCCATATTTAATATTATTCAGATGAGGTAAAAATATGAAGGTTGATAAAAAAAACATATTCAAGATTAATATAATCGTTTTTATATTGTTTTGTTTGAATATAAACTTACATTTTATTAATATAATCGTTGCGATTTGAGTCTGATGTACGTAAAAGGACAGAATATTTAGCTATCTTATAGAATAACGATGATCGCTTATAGATGTCTCGTATATTTTTTTCTTCTGCTAGTATTGTTCTTTCTCGTCTATTGACCGAATGATATAGATTACGGAGAACGATCGATAGAAAGAGAACAATCGAGAGAAAAAAATGTAGTCTTGACTCGCAAGATATATCAGAGTATTAATATAAGAAGAGAAAAAAAATGATGATGATGATGATGAGCAAACAAACGATAAATACGTTATCTTGATTGTTACTATAGAATATGAGAATGAAAGACACAAAAAAAAATTTGATACCATTGCTAACCAATTAAAACAAATGTATGTATAGAATGTTCAGACAAAAGGTTGTCGGTAAATATCAAGGTAATTAAAAACATGAGGGCACAGCATGAGACAATGTGAATGTTCAACCTTCTCTTCTTTTTTCTTCTTATTTCTACCAACTGACATCACGTATATTAGCACATCAAAGAGAAAGAAATACCTAAACCTTCAGTCATCTTTTTTTTTGCTCTATTTCAATATTTGCCAAGTTGGACATATAATGCACAGACATACAACATCTGCTTGCATGTTGGCTAAAACGTTTTTTTGAGATAGATGAAAAGAATTTTCTAATAAAAAAATCATATTGAAATAATGGTTCTAAACTTGACACATTGATAATAACGTTCCAATCACTGTTAATGTTTCTTTTTGATGATCACAGAGAATATAATCAATGGATCTATATGATTTTTGTAATATTATATCATCATTCGGCGCTCTTACATGAATCATATGCTGTTCTTCACATTAAATCTCGAGTGGTAATCATATCAACACAAGTTAAGTCTTATCTTATGGCCTTTAGTTGTGTTTTTAGTTTTTTCATAATCAAAAAAATCTCGATCATCTTTGCGTAGAAACTTCGTTGTCTTTCAAGCTGTCATAATTGAAAGTAAACGATTTTATTCATTTGTACTAATAAAATAACTTTTCATTTGAGCTGCATTCCATGCAGATATGATCAAGCAAACTATTATTCATATGT